GGTAACAGTGAATCTTGGGGAGTGACCATCAACCAGAGACTGGGCCATATACTGTCTGATGCCACACCTGGAGTGCTACTTTTCTTGCTGGTATGCACATGAAATGTATACAATTATCATGGTTTTGGATCCGGATATTGTACTGCAACACATTGCTTTTCACCTCTTACACTAAGTTACAGAACTTATTATGTTTTTCTTGTCAATCTGTAGGTTTTCTTCCTGTATGGCACTGAGAGGCAGTACACCAACTATGTTTTTCTGGGCCTGTGGCAGGCACATTACATTCACAGGTATTAACTTTTTCTCAGGGTGATTTGACAGTTTTGCTCTGACTTTCTAAACTGGAAATTTATTTTAAATTGCCATACATACAGAGGTCACCAGTGCAATGGCCAAGTGGGTAGAGTGTTTGGTACTGGTCATGAGTCATACTGTAGAAACAAGTGGAGCGAGTAGAAACAGATAAAAACAAGGAGAAGTCGAAGACATCATCCCTCCATGAAATAGCTTGTTATTTTGTAATCTTTTGGTGTATTTCAATAGAGATATTATGAGTCAAACTTTGTTTTTATCAGCAGAATGATTTGTGGTGGCACTTTGTATTTATCAAGCTGTCATGTGCAGGCGTTTAGTGTCTTGTTACCATGGTTTGTTTACTTTGATGGCCAGCAGGTCATTTGCCTTAGCCTAGGTACCATCCCCAACATAGAGTTTGCGAATATACTACTGGGGATGGTACCCAGGCTACATTTGCCTGTACATGTAGGTCAATGATCAGACAGGCAAATGACCTGTAGACCAAAGATTTATTTTCCTGCAGACTCTGTCTAGGGGTAAAAATAGATAGGGCTGCCTGGGTCTGACCTGCCAGCTGGAGGTATAAACAAAAACACTCTGTCCCAACTTTTGGGTCAAACAGACCATCCTATTATGAAGTAGGGGTGAAAAAGTGAAAATCCTTTTAAATTAAGCAATAAAAATATGCACTCCAAAACACAAAGAGACTCAACAACTACCCACATACCAAAAATCATACCAAACCATCCCCCAGATTTTCCAAACATTCAACACAAAAAGTCCAACATTAAACATTTTGTAAATATCAAACGCAAATAGCTAGGGGACCCAAATTTAAACCACTAAACCATGGTAATAACAACTACATGCTACCTTAATATCGCACAAACAGTCCATAACGCGAAAACAACAGAATAAAAAATTAAACTGCAGTACCAAGGTCAATCACCAGGGGCTCAAAGTCAACCTACACAATCTCCAAGGCCCCATCCATCAATCTGCCAAATATCGTACAGTTCCTTCTCACCGATCTTCAGATATCAGACCAAACATGAAACGGAGTAAAAACAGTACCCCCATTTTCATGGAGGGTAATTATAATGTATGTTCAAACCTTCCTCCACAATTTATCTATCAATAGCGGCAAATTAAGATTGTATAGAAAACTAAAATCTGACTATAATATGGAAACCTATCTGCATCACCCTGATTTTGAGCTAAGATCATCTCTATGTAAAATGAGACTAAGCGCTCACACATTAGAGATAGAGAGAGGAAGATATAAGAAACTGCCTGTAAACGAAAGATTCTGTAAATACTGTACAGAGGGAGCAGTGGAAGATGAAATGCATTTTATCTGTCAGTGTCCTCATTACGATTTTGAAAGAAAAAGTTATTCAAAGATGTCGCCAATATTTCCCCAAGTTTTTCATATCTCAACCAACAACAAAAGACTATATTATTGCTAAAGTCCACCAACCCATTTATTTTTCAAAGAGTCGGACAATTCATCTCCCACTGCCTCCTGAGAAGAAGTCAAACCCCCTAATAGCATGACAAGAATAGTTGAATAAGATAGAATAGATTAGAATAGCAGTTACATTGTTCCTATTACCTGTTCACATATTGCATATTTACTTTTTTATCCTATATGTATACCAACGTTATTAGATTTAAGTAGAGATAGTAGGTTCGATAAGTATATCGTACACGTAGAACTTGATGTTAGCAAATAGTCTTATACATGTATCACCACATTTTTCTTGTCAATGTATGCAATTAGCCCTCGGGCAGGAATTTGCAATAAACAACTTTATTAAACTTTATTATTAAACCTGGTCCTGGGCTGGGGTTCGAACCCACGACCAAACCCGGGTACCAGTCCACACGCCGTCGCTCTAACCACTCGGCTAAAAGGTCTAGACCCTTCAGCCGGGTCAGTTGGTAGCGCCTATAAACACACCCACTGTTACAATACTTAAGACTAAATACCATTTGGAAAAGAGTATGTATGGGAGTAAACACACCATTACCAGCACAAGTGGACTAGCCTCCTGCTGCAGTGATTACACAACGTGTGGCCCAAGGGCTACAGAAATAGGGATGGGTGCCATAGGTGTGAACTTTAACATCTATGTCCAAATTGTCATTCTGTTTACAGAGGAATCATCCACCCTCTTGTAATGAGGTACAGCAAGGCTCAAGTTCCCCTGGGGTATGTACAATGCTATGTATAAGTTGTCTGATGTTATATGATATGATGTAATTTCCACAGCTCTCGCTGTTTTCACAGGTGTTTTTTAACATGACCTCCTTGACAGCTGGTTTCCTTTGCTTGTTAAAGAAAGACTTGTAGACACCATGGCGAATGAGAAGAGGACAGTCACCAATACACACAGATCTAAATATTTCATGGAGGTCTGAGATCTCTGAATTCTTTTTTTGTGTAAGGCCATGTTGATTTGATTATATGGATGACATCCTCCGGGAGCCCCAAAACTGATGCGCGCGTGCGAATAAAAAAAAAAGTTTTGCAAGAAAAAAAACACGGTGGTAAAATCTGGGCTGCAAAGTTCCCACATGTCATAGAACCCGAACTGTGTTCGATCGTGTTCGATCTGGGGAATTCGAATCGAACCCGCGTTCTATTTCGGGGTCACCTGCGGTCATTTACTATAAACCGGCAAAACAAGCCTTTCTGCCTCCGTGCATTGCAACAGATAAAAAACAACACTTTTCTATAGATACAAACAGTTTCCTGGACAGTACATGTCCGCTATTATTTTTGGTGGACATGTAACATGTAGCGAAGCTACTGTCGTATCCTTGAGTGACCTTGAATACTGTAATGATTCTTTACACCAGTATGAATAACACAATGCACACTTTCTGGCGATATGACATGTCTCCAAAACTCGTTCAAACCTGGAAACATGGAGAGTCAAACATACCCCATTTACGGCTCAAAATGACTGTAACGGTTGTCCCGAAAATCGTGTTTTAGGGATTTTTGAAAAATGGCCTCAATTTTGAATTATGGGTAATTTAGTGAGAAAAATGTCAAAAAATGCCATTTTTTCACCAATATGTCGACAAAAACTAGACTTAAAATCAGAAATTAAAAAATCCCTAAAACACGATTTTTTGTCTTATTCCTAGTCTGCGAAAAATATAAAAATCGGGGATCTGGGGTAATATACGTAGCCAGGTTTGAACGATGTTTGCCTAAAAACGTGATATGACTTGTGCTCGGAAACCCGAAAATAATCGTCTTTCTGAGCGAAATTTTAAAAAATCATTGATTTAATATAAAAAGCTAACATTTAAAGGATGTTAAGACGTTAATTTCATTTTAAGTTGACGAAATTTACCCCTAAAGATTATTTGTGTATTTTCAAATATTTTACGGGTAGTCCAAAACAGGCCAAAATAGCGTCTTGTAACCCGATACCTTTTCGAACGCGCATAGCAATGGGAAAGAATGCCGTAGTGACAGACCGCCGTGAAAGTTGTTTTCATTATGAAATCTACGTGGTCATGAGGGTTGAGCAAATGGCACAGAATATGGTTTGGCGAATAATCTTGTCTTCAAGTTCATTTCCTTACAATTTCGTCTTTTTTCGTTTGATTTTGGCATTCTACGACATTGGTATAGTTTTTACTTATTTTTTTGTAACTTACGGAATATTTTTGCTCATTTTGCAACTGTTTTGTACGATTTACAGTATGGTTGAAAACTTTTTTTTTTTTGGAAACGGCCAAAAATTCATGCGCGCGTGGATGTCATCCATATAATCAAATCAACATGGCCTAATAATGACTTGCAATGTTTCCCATTTTATACAGAATCACCCTGGGTGGCCTGTTTCCCAACTGTATCTTTAGTTTCCTGTGTGCTGATTGGATCTCATCTGCAAGATATCCTGACCAGTACTACTAGTAAGGATCAAAAACTTCTTTTGTCATCTGCCACAGTATTTGTCATGTTAGTTGACCCTAATATATAAATGGCGACCAGAATTTAAAGGCTAAAGGCTGATGTTCACCAAAGTACATCGTGTATTATTGTTTTTGTTGACTTGAACTGTTTAAGGTCTTATGAAGTGGCTTGGCCAAACCAAGATAAACTTGCTTTATGACATTAAGAATAATTGTTTACAGCTACAGTTACAATGTACTGTAGCTTAATGATAAACATATTTACTGCTAATTCAATAAAATTAATGTCATTTAAAATGATTTATCACTTTTGTAGATTCAAGCAGTTCCTCATACATTTGTACATGTAAGGCCACACCAAGGCGGTTCTCGGATTCGCCTCTTCGTTTTTTTCTGATTTGCAAAAAAAAAAATTTGATTCTGGTCCTGAATCAACTGAAAAATGCTCATGTTTTGCCCCCAACAGTTGAGGAAAGTCCTTTTCTTCCTAGTTGTTACAGTTTTCCCATCTATCATTGCAGTGGTTTGATTAAAAGTTCAAAATTCAATGTTTAAATTTTAACCCAGCCTTTTGTGTTGACTTCATGGCTCCTATCATAGCATTTAAGCCTATAATAGGATGCCTAGACCTGTTTTTATTTTTTTTTTCGCCCTGTCGCTTCATATTTTTTCTGAAAAAATCCGAGAACCAACAAATTACATTGGTGTGACCTAATTATCAGATTATCAATTAGATTAACAAGCAGTTAAAGGTGCTGTGATTTTAAAAAAAAACAATTTCTCATTGTTGCTTATGCAGTGACCCGAGGTTCATCATAGGTCTTCTACTCTTTGTATTTGGGTACGTCACTAACAAGTGGGCAGACTTGAAGCTCAGAAGCCTGAGGAGACAGAAAGGTACAGATGGAGCGGGTAGGGCACAAACTACTTTGTGTGAACCTGTCTGTTGTAACATGTACTGAGCTCAGCTCAGGTGAAACTACAAAATATAATTACCTTTGACAAAAAGGTTTTCCGTTTTATTTGCCATATTAGAGTGGCTGTGGTTTGTATGACATTGTGCAAATCTATGTCAACAGCATAACTTGAGAAGCTGTGGATGGATATGCATACCACATGTTCTTGTATTTGGTAGGTGAGTAGCAGTTGTGGAAGTGAGGGTCAAGTTCAAAAATGGTTCACCAGGCATTTTCCTATGGTACTGCAGCAGGCTGTGATGTCTGTTATGATGGCTACATTGACATGTTAAATATTCTTGTTATTATTGACTTGTAGGTAGCAATGGATACTACATTCCATCTGGAGGACTTTTTGAGCTAGTGGCCTGTCCAAATTATTTTGGGGAATTGGTGGAGTGGTTAGGCTGGTAAGTAATTTTCTTTACCGATGTAATTTCTCTTTTTTTTTTGCCTTAGGTTTTAATCACTCAAGAGTTGAAATATTAAGATGATGAGTTCAATTGTCTTTTTTTGTTGTCTGCTGTGGATGCTCTTATCCACCTCGCATTAAGGCCACACTAAGTTCATTTGTATGCATAATAATAAGTATTTACTAGTACCTTCATAAAAAATGGAGGTTATGTTTTTCTTATGTCTTTGTGTGTCTGTGTTTCTGCATGGCCCTTTGGCCAGGTTGTAATAGACATGGGTTCAGTCTGTGTCAGAATGAAAAATGTCATTTACCATGTCTCTGAATTCTTTTTTTTTTCATTTTGTTCCATCCGTACTACCATTGTACCTGTAGGGCTGTGGGTACATGGTCTCTGTCAGGACTAGCATGGATGCTTTTCGGATGTGCTACATTCGTACCAAGAGCTGCACATACAAGGAAATGGTGGGTATTTCCCAGTAACTGGCCTAGCACTAGTAGCAGGTCACACCAATTTGATTTGTTGGTTAGGGGATCTTTTCAGAACAAATATGAAGTGACAGGGCAAAAAAACAACTAAAAACAGGCCTACTATCCAATGATCTGACAGTTTAAATTCAAGCTCATACATATCACATTGTATATGGCATTCTTCAACAATTGTTAAATGGTTTTTTCTTTCCTTGGCAGGTACTGTGAACAGTTTATGGAGTATCCCAGAGGACGGAAGGCTTTAATTCCCTTTGTGTATTGACAAATAGTTCATGGACTTTCTCGATAATATAATGTATTGTACCAGATGTACATGAAAGTTGGTGTTGATAGTAATCATAGTAAAATGTTGAACTTTATTCCAACACAAGGGTTACACAGAGATCAAATTTTCAATGACCACTGTCGCCTTCATCAGGATAATTAAATTGACCAATCACTTCTGAACGTAGACTCGCGAGAGTTACAGACACGTGGCCTTCGTTATTCACGCAAGACTTTATGGATACATGACGTCAGCGTCAGTGATAAAACGTGCCAGGGAGTTTACACTGTATAAGATTTTGAGATGTTTAATAGAACAATCAATAATTGTATTTGCTTTGCTGAGGGAGCCAAAATCATAATGTTTTAGAAAAGTTACTGTTCTGAGACATCATAAAGTAAAACTTACCCTAAAAGATATTGACAGTAATGAGAAGCATTGACAACATGATTGTTAATAAGATATGCTATTGTGCTTTATCAACACTAATACATGTATATAAAAAAAATGACATGTAAAATTAATTGTACATGATTACATAATTACATGGACTGCACCTTTACTTCAAGTGCCTCAAAATATATTAAAATAAATAATCGGGGGAAAAATAGCTGAAGTATTAGTAAAAAGTAGTATACATAACATACAATATTTTACAGTCTTTCTTCTAGATTTTGGTGAGATGTATATTATTGCACTGACTTCAACTTTTGACAGAGAGTACAAAGTTTGTGTGTGCCCTTCAACACTTCAACAAACTACTTTTGTTTTCAAGACTCGATGTCTGTACCAAGGTTTATCTTTCGTGAAATGTTTTGACTGCAAAAATGATGCCATTGATATTTCTAGACTTTCACCGGGAATATAAACAGTAAACATACAAAACAACAGATAAATCCGTTAAGCACCATTAAATTAGCACCACAGGTTTGAATCATAGTACACAGAAATTAGAAATAGCAAAAGTTTGAACATCAGTATTTGTCAAGAAATTAAAGGCATTTCAATGCAATTTTAGGATGGCAAAATGGTGCTTGTTTTGCACCATAGACTGGTTGTAGCTAATGTATGGATGGGCGGTACCCAAACATTGAAGAGACGCCTCATGTAGCTAGTTTTGGGCTATTCCATGCAAACGCTTGAGGTATGAAATGATGACGAAAATGTGCTAAGAAATGGCAGTAAATGTCAATATCAGACAGACTTCCTGACCCAGAATATTTTTTTGTTTTGCCAACCTGAAATTGCATTGGATGACATAGTGAAGCAACACTTGTGGAGTATGCATTGCCTTTGAGAACTTGAAGCTCCTAACACTTGTGCTGTTGGGTTTAGAGCACAACAAACTACAACTCTTACGATGACTCTTAAATGAATAAATATCTCTCCCTTGTGAAGTAAAAATAAATGGCATCATTTTACATGACATATGTCTAAATGGCTGACAACAGATTATTTACTTTATTGGTATTACTGTTCGAATACAACACAAAGAACTCGCCAACATTTTGGTTGCCTCTAGATGTACTTAGTCCACAGACTGTACATTTTGACTTCTAAAAACATTGAGCTGGGTAATAAATTGTGTTCCCCAGTACTCCAGACCAATGTTCTAGCCAGCCTGAATGGTTTTTCTATTATGATCTCAATTTTGTATGACGTAGCATCATGTCGAGTGCCAATCTTTGGGGGTGTGGGGGCATGCTCCCCAAGGAAAATTTTGAATCTCAACCCTCTGACATGCTATTTCCTGACATGCTATTTCCTGAATACTACATCATACATGTCGTAGAGGCAACAAAAAACTTGAGTTTCTTTGCGTAGGAACAGCTAGCAAATGTTAACCAATCCAGAATGTAGATAAACCTTCATGCTAACTGTAATCTAAGACATACAATACAAGCAAGGCTTGGTGAGAAGCAACATGTATAGTCAGTCATGCTTGTGTTCAGCAATAACAACTCTTGGGCAATCGATCTATTCACAATAAGAATTCAGAAAAGGTTGCAAAAATGGAGCATGTCAGAGAGAACTAGCATGTCGGCAGAACGTACTGAGCCTGTGCAAAACGTCTCATTTAAGGTTGTAGTATTCGCGTTTTTAAGACTAACATTCCATCTCATAGTGTTGAAATGTTGTGTTAGAAAAGATATGCAATGGGCGAAATTCTGATGTAACGTTGACCAAACATCCAACAAAACTGAAAAATCTGGGTTAGCACAGGAGCAGTATGTCTGCTGACTGAGAAACTAAGTTACATACTTGTTGTAGGGGGATGCAAACATGTACATACCTACAACAGGGTAAGGCACAACTTAGATTGAAACTAAAAAGCCCCTACTACTATAACATGTCTATTAGTAATCAATGCACTAACATGTATGGTATATTGCTACTCTGCACTGTGCCATATGAATTGCTCTGAAGCTTCTATTGCCTTGTGTCCCTATAGGGGTAATTGCAATCTCCATGGCCTTTTGATATCTCTATACTTTTCACTTGATCAAGGTTGCTTTGGGTTGGTTCAGGAAAGTCATTCTGTATGGAGCCTTATTAAAGACAACCAATGCAATTTCAGGACTGTCACAGTAAACCTGGATTTTCAAAGGCAAGGTACAGCAGTAAGTTGAATAAACGCTATCCTATAGCATACTGAGATCTGTGAGGCAAAAGTGCAATCATTGCCAGCGAAAAACTGTTCCTTGTTTCGTATTGTAGGCTGGTTCTAGCTATTTATGGGCGATACCAAAAAATGCCTCACATAGCTTGCTTGTTTTTTTTGTTTTTTTTTTTCACATGAAATGATAGCAGAAAATGTCAACATCAGACAGTTTTCCTCATCTAGAAATAATTTGTTTGGCACCCTGAAATTGCATTGAATGCCTTTAATAAAAATGACATGATTATTCAAAGGTTTCCTCCTTCACACTTTCCTGAAACAGCCATAAGACCATTGTGGGTCGGTGAATACATGATCAGGGTAAAAATGCTAAAACATGGTGGTGGGAGGGCAGGGTTTGATACAGACGAGCCTCAATGTAGATTCTTCTGTGAGTTACAATTTGATCCACTCCCCGATCGAAAAGGACTTGAGCTAATCATTTTTAAAAACACAAAAATTTAAAATCTTCCACACTGAGAAATATTACGACTCCACCAGGTATACATAAGACACTAGAAAATATATCGCAATAGTCTATACATATCTTACAAGGCATCAAGCAGTTAAGGAATTTTTTGCAAACATGATAGGTTTTAGAGCTACATCTAAACAGTCTACAAGTAGTGTGGGTGCTAAACCAGGACAATATGCAGCAGTTTCCCCAAACATTCTCACAAATAAAAAAATTTTCAAAGGAATACCAGGGTAGTGTTCAAATGAAAATGGCCTTTTTCATGAAAAAAAAGTAAAAATACGAGATTGTAGATGCTATTGCATTGGTACAGAATTCAACACATTGCAAAAGTACCCTGAAGATAAGTTTGAACAAATTTTTTTCCTGTTGTATACAACTTCCATCCTGCAAATAACCTGAGGTGCATGTGAGAAAAAAAAATTAAAAAACACAACAGAAAACATTTTTAAAAATCTGGGGCATGACTGCATGCTTGTCCTGGCATCCATCCATCCACACATTCACAAACATACAGCAATTTTGAACATCATAAATTTCAGCCAACCAGTATTATACAATAGCCGTATATATGTACAAATGTTGGCAGTGCATGCAGTTTCTTAATAGTCAAACTTCTGCTACATTTCGAGTACCGCTACAATTGGGACGAAACACACATTACAGAGACACATCTACAATACAATACCCTTGTCCCCAACATATAGCTGATAGACTTTGTGACGCAGCTTAATGTTGATTTCAAGGGACACAATTAGTCTACTGAAACGACACTTGATTTTCTTCGCTTAGTCTTCAATACGAAATGCCTTTGCAATATATTTAGGAAAAATAACCCTTTTGGAGAAAAATGTATACCTGTGTCAGTACAACAGTCAAAGACTAACTACCTTTTTCCAAGAGCCGACTATAGCAAAATGTACAAAAGCATTACTAGCTGGAGACTCGAGCTACTAGTGTGTAATATCACTCTTCAAGCAGAGAGAAAAACTCCAAATTCCCTGGCAGCTTTTCTCATGTCATCGATTCTGGCACATTTGTACTTGCATAGGGTTTAGTCCTGAAAAGGTACTTTATTAGATTATCAATTATTGTATAACTTCCCTGCCTACTTGTGCAAACTTTAGATCATTCCAAATTGTCTAAGGAACGGTATGACAATAAAAAAATTTAAAAAATGGACCTCTCTGTTACATTAAAAGCAAGAAAAAGTTCCTGAACTATGACCCTACCACTGTATGAGTTGACAAAAAAAGGCTCACCTACAGATGAATTTTTTCCTCCCTGCTTGAAGAGGTTAAAAGACATTCAAGCAAGTTGACAGTTTCTGCACTTTTTGGGATGCTCTTGATAAGAACATGTTACTCCTTACTTTCTATAATAGAAGCACATTGTCTGTGAAACTATGAATGTTACTGTGAATAGTTTCTTCAGGTTGGTAAGTCAACGTGTTTTATTCAGCCGACATTTCAGTAACTGCCTCTCACCTTCCTCAGGACAATTCTGACTGGTTCACATTGCACTATAGCACAGGTGTCACTGCTATAGATGCATTCCCAAAGCAAAGTATTCAGCATACATCTATAGTAGTGACACCTGTGCTGCAGTGCAATGTGAACCAGTCAGAATTGCCCTGAAGAAAGTGACAGACAGTCGCCAAAATGTTGATTTAATAGAACACCTGATTCTTACCATATCTTTTGCTTTATTTTCATTACTTTCTTAAAGCCAACTTGTGAGGTCGATAGCCTCCCAATTTGAGTAACTGTCATCTTGCACATGTAGCTCTTGCCTTGACAAGTGTGTTATAAGATAAAGGGTTCCACATACATGACTGTTCTTCCTTTTATACATCATTTGTCGGTATAGTACAAGATACAGTACATACCATGGAATGCTAGTCTCTTTGTTTTTTTTATATATACCTATATACAGTGACTTAGTTATATCTTTTTTCTTTAGTTAGGCTGCCTTCAATTTATTTAACTAAGTATTAAAGATATAAATAGTTACACAAATAAACTATTATACACTTGCGTACATGGATGTTCCTTAACAGAGGTATGTAGCTGTTTGTAAATTTTATACAATACTAAAAAGAGGTACACAGAAAAAATCAGAGATAATAATAATAACATTCTTGCTTTTTTGTAACACTGTTGGTTAGATGATTGGCAAACTGGTACAATGCTAGTCTTGACTAAGTGAGAGAAAGCCATGGACATGCACCCAGAAAGTGCCAATGTGGTAAGAGAGAAAGTGACATTTTTTCGGAAAATTCAGCGATATTATCTTAATATGACAAAAGGAACAAAGGAGGGGGAGTAACTGTTCCACTTATACCTTAGTTTTGTTAGGAACTGAAACCAAAATGTTCACTCTATCTCTCTGAAATCATTAGACGATGTACATGTACATTGTGTGCATCTGAATTCTTCTTCCTTCTCAGACAACTTTGGCACATATCCAGGACATACACACTGTACAATCGATAATTAGTTTCCAAGTAGAAACAAACTATTACCAGAAATAATAATATCTGGCACCAAGACGGACGATTCCCGAAATTTCCACCTATTCAGCGTCCTTGCAGTACTATTCTCATCTCCTAGAGGGTTCTTCAGCCTGAGCTCATCTTCAAACCAAATGGTGACATGCAAAAATTTCACTGCATCGTTCAGTGTTACTGCACTCACAGTACTGCCGCAATGCCAAGCCCATCTTTCACAGCGGGGCACATGAGGTAAAAACAAAAGTCTTTTAAAATATTCACTGATCAAGGAACGTTCCCTTAGCTTGCCTGGGGAGGTTTACTCGTATGCCTGAGACCTTTAACACTATGCATCCATCCGGACAATTTTCTCTGCTCACATGTGCCTCTTACTACCTCTTACTTACTTACTGTAGCACCAGAGAAAAGTCTAAAACACAAACAAAAGTCAAAACACGACCTGCCATTCTCCATTGCACTCACTGAAATGCTTGATGGAACCTTGGCAATGACTGTGACAACGGGACAAACGGGATTTGAGAGGTGAGGCTGGCGGTTGGGCTCATGGTCATGTGGTTTTGCACAGATATCCGAGAGGACGTGGACTGTGGGGTCATGGACATTGTCATGGGTATGTTCATGGCCTGTAGTGAAGTCTGAGGCTGGGTGATGGGGATGCTTGCATTCAGGGCAGAGTTCAGGGGAAGGAAGCCCAGGAGTTGGCCCAAGTCCACCGTACTGGCATTCACCGGCTCCGTGATGACCGCCGGACCGGGCAGCTTCAGTCCCATTGGTCCGTCGTCCGGGTTGGTATTGCTTGTTTCTATGGAAATCTCCATGGCCACTTTCGGGGGCGGCTCCGGTTTGTTCGTGAACGCTTTCGTTTCCGCCTTCGTTAGTGGCCGTCCTTTGTTGATGGTCAGTTTTGGAAGACTGTCGTCCCTTGGTAGGGACCCAAAGTTCAAGTCTGGAGCCTCCATGGGAGAGAGCAGCTGGGAGGAAGTCGAGCCGTCCGGCGATTCTTTGATCTTTAAGAATTCTGCGCAGTGGCTCTTCTTGGTGTGCCTGGTCAGGTGGTCTTTTCTCCCAAACCTCTGGGCGCAGAATTGGCACAAGAAGTCTTTCCTCCCAGTGTGTACCACCAGGTGCCGGCGCACGTCCTTTCTCGTGTAAAACCTCCGATCGCAGTGATCACACTTGTGTTTCTTCTCCTTCATTCCCCCCGCGGGCTTGCCCGAATGGACCTTCAAGTGTTCTAAGAGCGCTTCCGTGCTCTCGTACATTGCTGAACAGACGCGGCACGTCAGGTCGCCCGCCGCCGCCGAATGCAGTGCCATGTGCCGCCGGAAACCCAGTTTTGTGTTGTACTCTTTTCCACACTCCTCACACTTAAACGCTTCCTTGTTGGGGTCGTGCGTCTGAAGGTGGTTCTTCAGGTGATCTTTCCGATGGAACATCTTCTCACAGTACGCACATTTATGCGTCTTGTGAGGCGAGTGTGTTGTCATGTGTCGAAGGAGTTTATACTTAGATACAAAAGCCTTGTCGCAGCCATCACTACTGCACTTGAACGGCCGCTCCCCCGTGTGGGTGTACGTGTGGATTTTCAACTTCTCCAGGTTAATAAAAACTTTCCCACAGGCATTGCAAGGATAAGTCTTTCTCGGTTTTAGCTCCCGTATTCTTCGTTTCACCTTTTTTAGGACCCCCTCTCTCCTTTTGTCTCCCAGTTTCGACGCGAGTCTCGCCTTTGCCCCTTCGGCATTCCGTTTCTTCACCTTCCGACCTTTTTTCTTCGGAGTCTTAGTGGTTGCGGGTGTTGTTGGGGCCACGGTTATGGCGGCGCTACAGGAGTGTTCCTCCAGGAGAGCGAAGGTGCTGAACACGTTGTTACAGTTGGAGCATTTCCATGGCTCCGTGTGATTCTCGGTCTGGGAGGGAAACAAACGGTAGACTCCGAGTTAGACCGCAGTGGTAGCACCAATAATTTCATTATTGAAACTTTATGTGTTGGTCAGTAGATCAAGTTGAAAACTGTGTGAATACACTCTGAACAGTCTAAGCATAATCTAACTAAAGCCAGTAGCTACAATTATTGTTGAACAAATAGAATACTACACAGTGTAATCTGTATCACCCAAAGTACCGGTCAGATCAACCGACGGCCGAACAGAGATCTAATCTGTGAGAGGGCTGGGATTGCGGGTGATATGGAATACACCGCATTGTATTCTACAATAATTATTTCATGTCATACACACATGAGAAAACACACATTTCAATGCGAAATGTGCCATTGCCAACATGTAATAACCAAATAGAAACCCTTGCATGTGATACGTTATCACACGGGATAGAACACCAGTATCGAATGTTATCTCAGCCCAGCTGCAGGTATGGCATAAAACTGCATACATTACAATGAAACCACAAAAAGTCTATGTTGAGTCAATAGTCGTGAAAGTATGCACCACTGTAAGGACTGTTGTGAACTAATAGAGTTGCTATAAATTCTACGTCATGTAGCCTTGAATCTATAACTTACTACAAAATCTAATAAAGCAAAAGATCGGGTGTTATTAACCAACCAGATCTCAGTTTACGTCAGCAAATAAAAATTCCCACATGCAGAAGGTTATTCTAACATACAGCATGAACATGATTCCAAACTAGACATCACTTAATAGAGTATCTCACCTTGTTCAATTCAATCTTAATTAAAATGTTATCAAAATACATAAAAGCAGTTTTGCAGGCTTAGAAATTTTGTTTGTCCAAGTGTGAAAAAACAGTGTTCCAGTTATCTCAAATTTTGCTGACACACTAAGCTTAGTTTCATGACATCTCTTTCCATAACTATTTTTTTACAGTGATTTTTTCCTGTCAAATATGACGTATTGGGCAAGCAGCAAAATTCTGTCAAATCAGATGGAAAGACAGGCTGGAACACCGGTACCGTCACAATAGAAGGAAGGTCTTTCAAATCTGCTCAAACATGCCAAAACTTCTAAGCCTGCAATTTGGTCCAAGCTACGTACCTTGAAAAAGTCCAGAGTACTTACTGGTCTGATCTCCTGTGGCTTGCTCTGGAGGGCACACGAGAGCTCATCTTCCTCTGTAAAGGTATGTGGTTCAACTTCAAGTTAACATACATGCATGTACATTAAAAACTACAATCATAAGCTATATTCAATTTCAACTCTACTACAGTAACTGGATAAATTACGTAGATTACAATGTATGATGATTATTTTGCAATTTATAAGCCGGAAAACTTCTGAATTGCTTTCTATTCTACATTTTGTATTTTCGACTGATTCTTTTGGCAATTCTTTTGGCAGTGAAGTTGCAGTTGTACTTGACTGTGAGGGGAGGGGCACAGTGCATAAAGATGACTGTATACATGTATGATGTCTGTTTAATTACCAAAGTCTTGACAAAGTGTAAATATAAAGGTGACAGACCTTTGACTAACACTTGCATGTTCATCCTCTTTGCGTAGTCTGCAGCATACCACACTTTCAGCTCGCAGTGTGGCTCGATCGGCTGCAATTAACGATATCAATAATTCAAATGTGACATGTGAAACAAATCTTTAGTAAGGCAGAAAGCAACAGTTCTTTGACTGTACCACTAGCACAACTTTTTTTTACAAAATCTAAGATGTCAAGATACCTCAGAAATCCAACATATCAAATCTCCCAGCCTCCAATCAAAATAAGGCTTCAGTGGTTTAACTGACTTAAGCCACTGTCACACATGCACGAATTTCCCTCCCAAACACCAGCCAAATTCCCCATGGTTAGGAGTAGATCAGGAGCAAGGTCAGCTGGTGTTCCGTCATGTTGGCTACTGTTTCGCTACACCAGCCGAATGTTTTAAAATGTGGCGTGGTCAGAAGGTTCGACCATCGTTGACCAACCTTAGTGGAGGAGAAGTAGATCTTGTCCCTGTACTGGTAGGCCACCATGTTCTGTTCCGCATGGTTCCGGGCTGGCCGCACAAACATCATCCAGTTACAAACATCTTCATTGGGTGTGTCCAGGTAGTACTCCTTCCCATTCTTAAAAACCTGCAATTGGTAATGGAACAAACAAGATTTTTAGTAGTTTTACTGAGAACTGAGCAACATAAAGTACCCTGTCATCTCACTAGTAACGGTGTTTATGGCATTTATTATATATTAAGCCCTTCATTTACTAGTTTAAGCCCGTCACACATTTACACATTTGGTTTCCCAAACACACATTTGCTTTACCGAAATTCTGTAACAGTTTAGTTAGTAAAAAATTTCCTTGGCTATTTTATATAATAATTTTCACACTGTAACTTCTGTGAACCTCTCAGAATTCATAATTCTCCCTACAGTAAACTG